GTGACCTAATGCTACTGTGGGTATACAGGAAATACTCTTGGGAGATATATGCTGAAATAGTTAGGGATAAAGTGTCAGGATAGCTGCAACATACTTTCAAAAACTGCAGCAAACACACACACACACACACACACACACACACACACACATATAAACACAAAGATAGGTAAAGCAAATATGACCAATGTTTAAAACCGCTGAATCTAATCACAGCCATAGTATTTTTTTCTTTTATGTTTAACATTTTCATAATAAAAAGATAGAAAGGAAAAAACAGAATCTTAGGTCATATCCACTGACACTTTATAAACTTCATTTAGGAAAATTCCATAAAGAAATACCTCTATTAAACAGTACTAGACAAACAAACAAATACAGATAGGAAGAGTTACAAAATGATCACTTTGTAACCACTATAATCGTAACTGATTTAGACAAGAATCATCAACAGATGCTAAAACCAGTGGGTCAAAGTTTGTTTGGGAACAGGATACTTACAATCTCAAATATTGTTTGACAAACTACTCATTAGTTACAAATGGTAGTATCTGGTGGATCAAATTTACTATCACTGACTTCATGCACCTCAGACATAGAGAACACGTATTACATACAGTACTTCTGATGAAAGTATATAATAACTTCAATCTAATCAAGAAGAAATAGATAAACCCAAGTTGAGAACATTCAACAAAAATACTGGTCTATACTCTTAAAAAAACATCAGTGTCATGAAACATTCTTAAAAAAAAAATGTTATCAAAGGCTGAGGAATTGTCCCAAGTTAAAGATGCTGTCCCATGAAGAGACATGATATCTAAATGCCGTGTGCTCCTTGACTGATCCTGACTTACAGGAGAAATTGCCACAGAGAACATAATTGGTGCAAATGAAAAATATGGAATATGTACCATATAGTAAATAATAGTAGTATATCAATTTTAAATCTCCTGAATTTGATAATTATATTGGTAATACTTTTTAAAGTCCTTCTTCATATAAATGCTGAAATATTTAAGTCAGAGCATCTGCAACTTATTAACTAGCAAATAGTAACAGAAATGACATAATTATATATACGATGAAATAAAGCAAAATGTGGCAAATGTTACTTGGTAAACATAGGTGAAGGGTATACTGGTGTTCAATACTATTGCAACTTTTCTGTAAACTTAATTTTTCCCCCAAAATAAAAAAGTATTAAGTAAATCATTAAAGTAAATGATATTAATTTTAAGTGTAAAAATTAACTCAAGGAAAAACAAAGGAATATCAAAGTTTCTACAGCTTTTTAAAGAACAAATTAAAGATAATGAGAGTAAGAGTATTAATAACCAGGACAAACAAAAGCAAGCATAAAGAGCAACAGACAGCCTGGCTAATTTCACTGATGAGATATTCAAGGCAAGAAAAAATTCTTTAACAAAGTCATTAATTTTACTTATATTCCTAATTCAAAAGATAACAC